AAAAAAATTTTACCGTCACACAATTTTCACACTTTTTAAACATGTGAATTCCATGGGATTTCTGCCCTTAAAACGAGTTTTAATTCTTGACAAATGGACGGAGAGAGAACACAGGGACGAGAGAGAGATGACCGTTCGTGACACCATGTGTGTGGAGCTCCTATAAGTCAGACAAGGAGCAAGCAGGCCAGGAGGGTCAGCCTAGACTCTAGAGGTTAAGGCCGCCTACAAGCAAAGCTTGCAAGCATCCTCATCGATTCTAGCCGCCATAACTTTAAATAGTATGGCCCATTTATGCACATTTCCGCTGATAATTAATAACTTTAATTGTTCCAGGAGCATATCAATTCTAGTTATCCGCATGCATTCACCAAAAATGGGAATTATATGGATTAATAATACTTTGACACAATTTTAAAATTACGAAACTAACCAAAATCTGAATCAACAAGCACTGTAATCCGCATTTTGAAATAATAAAAATCTGAAACAAGTTTGGACGATATTCAATTGGCTGAATTATAATATGAAGACTTACAGGACACATCCTATATACGTTTGACGGCACAAACTCAACTACATGCCACAAACTTCCATGAATCCAACCAAGCATAGTAACGTTTATCTAATGGATGTTTCGACAGGATGTTACGGAACAAATGTAAGAGCCCATGGATCTTTTATGTCCTCAATAGTTTACTGGAACGCCAGGAGAAGGTCCAAGACGTTCATTCATGAGTAGATAGACGTTCATCAGCTAGCTGTCGTTCATTCAAACGACAGCTGATGTACAGTATCGTTAGTATTAGTGTCAACATAAAAGTCATCTATCGTTATAAACCCATGAACATTAACTAGCGAACCTTACGATTTTGTAACAGCTGTTACTTTTGACATGATTCTCAATTTGACAATAAAAATCTGGTCAGTCTAATTGAAAAAATTTCTTACAACGACATAAGGTCGGACAAGCTGTAATACATGAAGAGTAACTCGTCACGCAGCATGACTTTACTTTTGCTCAGTAGAAAACTTTGGTTGATTGATTGGTAGCCGCAGACAATACGCTTAGAATTTAAATCTGGAATCTCGACAGCTTCTTCACGCGACGTCGCAGCCGACAAGTAATTGATGAGAACAGGACACGACGGCCCGAGAGAGCTATACGCCTTCGAAGATCATACAAGCGTCATCTGTAGCGAGAATTACGAACAAAAAAAAAGTACACGTGTCAGGTCGTTGCTAGGTCTCAAAATATCACATACGACACGACAAGACACGATGCATCTTGACAGGTGAATAATGACGTTAATTGATATTGATGAGACATCAGTTGGGCCTCTTCCTAGACCCGATCTCGGGCCAGTGAAAAAACAATCGTTAGGTCAAAAAAGCATGATTTCTGACTTTGTATAAGGAGGGGATGAATATATCATATCATCACAAGAGAAGGCTACACACTTCAAATCAACTTTCAGTAGATTTATTGCCGAAAGATTGTCCACAATTTTTTTTTATAAATAGAAACACGCAGCTAAACTGGTCGTCAAGTGGGAAATTAAATAAAGAAAATAGTTATATTTATCTCTCGACGATAATTGTATTTATGTGTTGCGGGATTTAATTTAAAAATAACCAAAAGAGGAGCAGCTTCGTCTAGAAAAAGGATTAAAAGTAAGAAAAGCAGTTAAGAGAACATCCAGTATATTGTGAGCAGAAGACGCAGCTGTTTCGAGTGAGCAGCAACGACAGTTGGATGAGCAGCTTTATGTATCTGGAGGATCATATAAGCAGGAAGAGCAGCTGTGTGCATCTATACAAAGGCAGCATAAGCAGTTGTGGCAGCTCATTATCTATTCGTACGGCAATGCTGGTCAAGCTGACGCTGAGATAGCTCGTTCTGATGGCAGTAGAGATAATCCAGCTACTCGGACCATAGCAGCCAAAAAGAATAAAAAGAAACATGCAAAACATGAAGCTCGTCAGAGATATTTTTGTTTAGTTCGTTTCTTTACCGACTTAATGGCAACTTGACTAAGAACATTCGATCGTGGTCCAACCTCAAATAAATAACATTATGGAAGGCATCTAATTCAATGTGCGAGAAATGAAACAAATTGCAGCAAGAAAGTCATCAGAGGATTCAGCATGCTTGTTGCTGCGATATTTACAACGACCCGAAATAGCGACGAGCTATCTTATAGGACTCTGTCGGTCGACTCGTGCATAAGAATGATCCGGTCTTTGGAATATAAATGCAAATATGACAAACTATCTCACGCACATCAAGACCGTTATTCTGCCTTCTGTTTTAATTGCAGACTCTGATTCTAATGGGGTTTGACCTTATGAACGCGGCCAAGAAGCCTCCATGGACTTACTGCTTACTTTCGTGAGGTAAGGTTAAGCGTCGAAATCAATGTGAAGCAATTTGTTAAAGCTTACCGTTTGTTGGATGTACATAAGCACGAAACAATGTCAAAATTGACGTGCTGTTACACAATTCAGTCCTGACTTTGGTACAACAGAAACCATGCAAATTTGGTTTTCCTATTGTTTTCTGTAGATTTTGAACTAATGATTGAGCTGGCCTCCGAAGCGCCTTCGATGAAAATATGGCAAATTTCCTCGGCCTTATCGTAACGTTTTCATTCTAGTACAAAATAAAACGCACGGATCGTTACAAGAAGAAATGGTTTTGACGATTTGAGGAATTCAGTATTTCCTGTGTTCCAATTAAAGAGGCTCCAAGCTCATGCTAACTTCTGGAAAACTACAGAAATTGTTTGCAGCTTTCATTTAAATTACTAGAGAAACATTCGATACTAGTAAATAAGAAGTGCGACATGAATTAAGATTTTTTTTCGTACTTTCAGAATATATCTCCCATATAGAATAGAATAGGATAGAAGTGTCGGCATTGAAGAAATAGGCCCATGGCCTGTTGCCGATTCTTGAATTTTTCGTGACTTGATTCACAAGGGATCCGGCCTTTGGAACCCGATCTTTCCATAACTGACGATTGATTGAGATAGCTGCTGGATTTTGCTGGTCTGCGATTTGCTAGGCATTTTAAGACTGAACATATATGCTCCTGCATAGCTTCGTCTAGTCTGTTTTTGAAGGCGTTCACAACCCCATAATTTTTTTCGATATTGACGATAAATCGTGCAACTAAGCGAAGGCGATCTACAATTGCAAATGGTCGTCAGAGAGATATAACAAAATCGTTACCATATTAAACCCTACAGGAGATCTCAACAAACGAGAATAAAGGTCGGTGAGTCGAGAGCAAGTTTTCCAGAGAGTGACCTCCTCATAAATTAATTATAAAGACATGGCTGTCCTCACGAGACCCGCGATGAGGTTCGTGACAACGCACGTCGCTCTGTAACGGCGCAGGCCAAGCTAATGGTTACCATGACGACCAATTAATGGCTCATTATTTAGCAATGATGCACGCAACGTCTCAGGATGGAATAGGGATGAGTGGAGGTCGTCCAAGGGAGATAATGAGATGCGTGATGCTGAAATACTGGCTATCCTTTGTTGTCTACAACACTGAAGCTAGAATTGAGGGGCCTACCAAGCGAGTTTATATTGAAAGTGAGATATATTTTATCACTACGTCTGATTATAAGGCAATAAAGAGGTACTATTAACACGAAAGAATTTTCAGAGAAAAACGTGATGTGAGCAGGTGATGGAATTAGATGACTTAGCATTGTTATGTTTGTGATGTTTCCAGCGCTAACCTGACACATATAAAATTAAGACATACCTGTTGCTTCAAGTCTACTGAGATAATAAATATGTGATCAATGAAAAGTATTCCGTAGAAGCAGGCATCATAATATACATCGTCTAGTTTGATCACCACAAAATATCAGACATAATGTGATGAAGTTCTAACCAACGTAAAAAGCCAGCTACAGCTCACTGTGTCTGTATTTTACAACACTTCTCTTTAACTTCACTTCTTGTTTGTCTGTCTGTCTGTCTGTCTGTCTGTCTGCTACAAATCTTGTAATCGAAATTTAATACACTTCTACTTTTCCTATGGATCTGAAATTTTGCACACTTGTGTAAAGTTGGAGACAATGCATGAATCAAATGTAAAAATAAAAGATTTTAAAAATTAAAAAAAAAATTTTTCAATATCAAAAAAATTGAAAAAATAATTTTGTCAGCTACAAATCTTATAACTGATATTTGACTCACTTTTACCTGTCTGATTGATCTGAAATTTTGCACACTTGTGTGAAGTCAGAGGCAATGCATGAATCAATTAATAGAATAAATAATTTTGAAAAAAATTATATATTAAAAAATTTGTATATTAAAAAAATTGAAAAACTAATTTTTTAATTTGAAAATTAAATGAGAAATTTATTGTACATTTGTAAGATTGGAGACACTGGATTCTTTGGAAGTGTTGTCTTTAAGAAGTAATTTTTAAACGCATATTATTTACTTATAAGAAGGCTCGGCGTCACTGAATGAAAGCTGTGGCCAAAAAAATTAAAAAGCTTTAGGACCAAGTCCTTCGATCACCTACCCTCTGATTAAAGGAAAATTTACGACAACCTTCGATCATTTGCATCTATAAGGAAGGTTCTTGTCTTTGGACTGCCTATAAAGATCTGATGTTCTTCCAGTCAAACGATCAACTATGTTTATAACATTCAACAAAAACGCTCCCTATGACAAAATTTAACAGAATCAAAAGCGATACATTGGAAATATTTTAACTTTACTGAAATGGATATTCTGGTTATATTACCAAAAATCAATATCCATTATTGAAATAATGTGAACAAATATAATGAACCTGTTCCAAATACATTTGAATCGACTCGCTGACTGATTACAAAAAGTACGATTCAACAAGATTATCCTTGTTGGAAAAATGACTTTCGAAGTGATGCTAACCTGCGTTTCTTTCATTTTGAAAAGAACCTTCCAAAAACAAATATTTGTATTCTACTACATGCATTAACCTGAAATGACGGCGAACTCCAGAAGCAGCAGCAGCAGCACGAGTACAGCTTTCATTCTTCGGAACGTACCTGAAATTAAACCGAAAGAATTGGTGAGAAAAATGTCAATGCTGCTTTCATCATCATTTGTCTTCACATCATTTGTCCTATCATATAAAGTAGGATGAGCGAACACGGTAATAAAAGGCTTAATTCAAATTATTACGCAATTCTTAAGCGAAAATTACGAAACGTACATTAAGATAATTTTGACCTTTTATAATTTTGAAGTCAAGATTCAGCGCGAAAGAAAGAATGCAAATGTGTCGCAAGCGTCGCGGCACGACTGGACGAGCGTCTTCTGAGCAACGGCGACCTTCATTCACATTAGAAGACTGCACAATTTCCCGCTCACAACATATAAAATCACCGTAAATTTTCTCGTAGACTTTTACGTGGCCGAAAAAATATGAGAATAAATCTAACAGTTACACGAACAGGTCACAATAAGATCTCATAACCAGCGATTTCCTAACATGTGCGAAATTACCGAGAAAATTTTATTATAAAACAGCGAGTGTCAACTAAAAAATTTAGTGAGCTTTACACTTTAACGCGGACTAGAAACATAAGTTCGTCACAAGTGTACCTTGATATTGGTTAATGTACCGTCAACCGTGATCGTAAGACGCGAAAAAGCTAGTGGGCAAGTGATTATTTTAGAAATTTTTGAACAGAATATTCAACCAAAAATACATCAAGATACAAGCGTAAAAATTAATAAAAAAAGAAGTGTTAAACTTAACGGCAGAGCGGTCATATTTTCATCGACTTCAACCAACTAAATCCTTAATATGCCGAAGGCGTAATCGATAACTAATGCAAGGAACAAAGTTTGGTTTTGACAACAGGCACAATACCAAAGAGAAAAGCTGAAAATTAACTAATAACATAAATAATTATCAAAAGCAAAATTCATCAACTTTCAAAGATGTATCTCATCGATTTCAGCTACGTATGTGGATAGCAAGAAATAGATGTACCCGCCTCCATAATGTTGCTATCACAAGAAAGTGGCAACACGCATGGTCAAATTCAGTACACATACTGTACATTATTCATACAATACTCAGATTTCGAAATAAATTCCGAGGGATTCTACAAAGGGTGTGAGAATTTCTAGCGACAGCCCCTCGGTTACAGGGCAACTTTAGAGATAATGGGGCTACGCGCTGTGACCACCCAATCTAGGAGAGAAGAATTGCATAATTTGTTAAATTAAAATTGCACTCACAAACTCAAGAGATTTCTGGATGACTTTTTTTCATGATGAAATAATCGGCTCCTCAAAACTAATGCAACCAATTTTCATCTATGTTCTCAATTTTTCAATACGACAGGTTTTTTCGATGAAAAATTTTTCGGGAATAAAAATAAACTCATTAAATGTTGTGTGATGATATTGACAGATAGCGCAAGCAAGGGAAGAAATTGCGGCATTTAGTTAATATAGTGAAGATCTAAGCACTCGAAGGCCGTCTGATCAAAGAACGAATATGTTTTCAGTTTCTAAACTAAAACGAAACTTCTGAATGCAAACTATAGAGCATCAGCATGTGAGTTTTCGTTTTTATTTATTTGGTGCATTCAATAAGTCACATCTAAACAGTATATAGCGAGATGCATCCAACTGTGTCAGCGTAGAAATGTGCATACGTGGAACATATTCGCGCGCTTGAGTTAAAAAAAACATTCAACAACGCCAAATGCACAACCGTGGTGGATGCTTATATAGTGTAGTACAGAAATCATTTATTATAGTTTTATCCTACACAATCCGCAAATGAAACGCAGAGTTAATGCAAAAGTAATTGTCTTCAATGGGCGACATATTTTTGGGTATCATTCAGAGAAAAATCATTGAAGTAAAATCATCTTATGATCAAACATCAGATGGTTCATATCGACTTCATAATAGAAGAAATAACTATACATGGACACATGTGCCAACAAATAAAATACGACATTTTCCGATTTCTGTTTGAATCACACGAAGACTCCGTAATATTTTTTATTGAAGAACAATACTTTTGTCTTTATTATAATCAAGACTTATTATGTCAATATTAGACCGGGTTTCTCTTCATGTAAAGCTCGACTATTATACAGCATCCCAATTCGGAACGCTCAGGGAATTATTGACAATTTATTAGTGGGAATTGATAAAACATTACCCGATCATGATTCGAATACGCTATGAGATATTAATTCATTTCCAGTTCAAGGCTTGGCCTCATTATCATACGAAATTCCCTCGAGAAGAAGGGTCAAAATTCGGATCATATAATTGCACGATTTTTGATTTGCGACGCGCAAGTCGAGCTCCGAATCCAATGACCTTCATAAAGCAGAAGGAAAGCGAACGGTTGGTTTAAGCGCCCCGAACTCTTTACGATTTTCAGCAAGATAAATTGAAAATGTCTCACGACGGCAGGAACGTTGAGACTCATGAATATGAGGCACTGTATCGACAGCGTAATTCATGACTGAGCGCTCTTGTTATGCATCGACCTCACCTTCCTTCAACGCGACCTTGGCCTGCAAAATTTAGTCACCGATATTCCATATGCAAACGCTTGGGATATGGAATATACATCCGATTTACCGACGAAATATTTATTGCAATTGCAACGTCTTCGGGGCGCCCCAAATGAATACTGGTGCATTGAAGCGACTTTGAATGCACACTACAGTTTGTTCTCTTCGTATTGTTACCTTTAGTCCCTCCTTGTTAGGTGCAACTATTTCAAGGGATTTCCTTCTTTGGCAAGGATGGGTGAGCAGTAAGAGTGTCCGCACTAACAAATCTGGATAAACATGCGTTCAATTGACATGGGGTGTGATTTCTAACTTCCTGCTCGGAGCCATCTTCACAAAATCAATCTCACAGAAAATATCAAGGGAAAATCAAATAATAATTTTAAAATAAGGTCAAATGACAAATTCGCATAACACGAGTTAATATTCAAGTTATAAAAGGAAATTGGCGACGGCTGGACAGGCGTTATAATTTTCAAGCATAACGGTCCCTAGAAATTACGTATTTTACAAACGAAACCTTCAGAACACTGCATCAAGTAGCTAAATTGACGTCGTAACTCATATTCTCATAAGACCGAAATTGCATTTTTGACACGTGCCAAAAGAAGTCAAGCATTTGAAAATCCCTATAATTTTAAGCACACAAATATACAGCTCGTAAAAGAGGAAGAAACATTGAAGACGATGATGCAACGATCCTATATAAGCGGGTATCATATGCGACCTTCGACAATAACACGATTCGATCATAAATCGATGGCATATCGCACAATTAACCGAAGGCTCTCAGCAATTTGGCACACGTGGCGAAGTTATGCGATCTTCTGCTGGAAAATTGAAGGGAGATTCTGCAAACAAGCACGAACTTGAGTTTCGAACTTGCCGAAAATTTGCGTTATCCTTGAAATTTTGAAATTTATGTATGTGAACGCTGATTGTAAGCATTGCTCGGAAATCCTAGAAATAGAATCCCATCCAACAGAAAACATTAAATCTTCCACATTCCGTAGGCTACACATACGCTCCGTAATAGTCTACTCTTAGAGTTTCAAGTCTCTAAGTCTTCAATCAACACAAAATTCAGGATCCAACTCGGTTACCAGCTTAATTTCATTTTGCGAGCTACTCGATGAAATTACAACTTTTCAAACTATATATTACGTACGAAACTTGCCTCTGGCAATACTGATACAACACAATAATACAATACTCTGGCAATACCTAACTCGGGCAATCCTGATGAGGGTTCAATCACGTAAAAAATAACATCCAACGACCGTCGAGGAGAAAAATGTTCAAACGCACATTGGAAAATTTCTACAGACAGATATTGCATCTGAACAAACTAGTCAAGCTGAACACATTAGAACCCTAGGATAATGAGACAGAGAACTAAACGGCCCACCAACACACAAGGTCAAACTGGTCCCCCGATTGCGATCCAGCAATTCATCAGCGAAACAATAACGTTGGGTGAAGCTGCGCTTATCTCGGCCAAACAAATCCTTGGGCGCTAGAACGCGAAATGTACAACTGAAAATAGGGCACTTAACATCGTATTTCCATAGCTTCGAGATGAACGGGAAACTTGCTCGTGAATCCTTAAACTTAAATTCGTTATTTGCAGCGTAGACTTTGCAATTAATAAACTCTAGGTAGAATATTCTAAAAAGAAAACTTAGGCACTGGGTTCATCTGGTCTGATTCTCAATTCATTTAGTAAAATCATTTGTCATAGTATACAATTCACCGTAAGACATTTTACGTCCTTCCTGTTTTACAAGCATATGTGAGGCCAATTAAAATTCTGTGCTGGACATTGCTCGAAGAATAGCCCGATACCACATTGAATATATCGTAATACAAAATATTATGAAACAACACTACCAATGATCGTCATTTTTTATGGAAGTTGTCGCTGGAGGTTGCCTTCATGTCAATAACTGCGAATGATCTATAGGCAATGACGGCTGGAATTTGCTGCTTACAGCTTAAAAATCATGCACAGGTGCAGCGCGAAAAAAATCAGAACGCCAAGTGAAAACCTTGGAACGAGAGATTAGGTAGAACTCAACTGAACACTGCGACCATATTTCATCGCATGAAGTTTCCCGGTCAGAAAGTCACAAGCATGTCGGCAACGCTGAAGCGCTTTGAGCGTGACAAACGAGCTCGCGGTGACTGCTCGCTCGAGCATTGAGTCGTCACTGAGCCGCCCCGACATTGCATGTGAGAAAAATTACCGGCTGCAACTCAAAACGTGTACGAGTTTCAAGACTATATATAAGTTTTGAAACTATATTTTAAGATTTTTGAGCAAGTGGCTCCATGCAGCGAAAAAATTCGGGTGAGTATACGGGAAATAATTTGAAAATTAATTTAATCAAATACTCATTCTTTGCGATGATGATTCTGTTCACTGAAGCTCTGTCGCTGATTACCAGAATCTTCCAGGAAAAAAAGTTAAAAATGTCTATCCTGTCATCATA